TACCTAAACAAGAAAAACAGAAAATAATTAGTAAATAATTAGTAATTTAAATGAGTGGATTAAAACTGAACATTAGTAACTGATATAAATTTGCAGTTGCATGGAAAGCTCCACTTGATTTACTGAAGCAGTTTAGTTTTGCATATAAACACAAATGAATTTCTGAGGGTGTGCCCTAAAGTTATTTGTTCCTCAGTGGGCTGTACTGCTGATCCTTTCCCAGATGACAGTGGGAGAACTTGTATGTCCTGCTCTCCAAATAAAAAAACCTGCTGTAGGACAGCATTAGAGAATTGTCAATAGTTGGATGTCTTAGTCTGTCTTCACATTTGGTACTGTCTTTATGAAATTCCTGTGTGTAAGCAGCTTTGAATTGTAGTTTCTGAGTTAGGTCAAGTGTAAAGTGACACTGTAATGAGGTAAAAAGGGTGGTGTTTAGAGCAGATATATTTTGGGAACAACTCCAGAGTGATAACACTGAATTACATGTAAATAAAACAAACTTCATTTTAGGTTATTACGGTTATATAGGTTGAAAAGAACACCAAGAGCTGGTCCTTATTTTGGGCTATCTTGGTCCCAGAAGATTAAGGTAGCTATTACACAAGCAAATTGTCTGTATGCGGTGCCAGTCCTCATGGTAATTCTGTGTGCTGCCATAGTTCAAGTCATATGTTAGGAAAAAAAATGATGTTAGTATAGATTTAAAAATAATTTATCTTGAATACTCTCAAAATAGCAGAATGCTTGGCAGAGATGGTTTTCTTCCTCTCTCAAGAAAATAACACACACTGAAGCATTCCAAAAATTCATTCGAGCAGTCAGCAGTCTTATTTTTGAGCCAGTTCCTGACTAGCACAGATAGCTTTAAGTTATGTGCAATATATACAATAAACTAACATAGATTTCTTTTTGAAATTGATGTCCTTATGACTGACTTTTTTTTATTGGCATAATTCTTTTCAGACACCTTACTTGAGTAGTTTTCCTGGTTTTGTTGTGTGCAGTACTTGTTCTGTTTTATCTGGGCATGATACTTGACTTTTAAGAATTCTGCACAAGTATATGCAAATACATTTTCTTATATGGGCAATAGGAAAGTCAAATGAGCAATTTTAATCTGGAATTAATGAAATGATTTATGCCTAGGAGTGTTTAATAATTGAGAGACTCATGTATTAGCAGTAGTTTTTTCCTCATTTTCTGATATATTTAGACTTTCTCAAAGGACTTCAGTCCATCATTTTGAAGATCCACATACTGTGAACTAACTAGAACAACTGAACTAAACCCGCTATGATCTTCATAAAAGAAACAGGATGGGAAGCAGCTTGTGTCAGCCTTCATTCATACTTTCTATTCCAAGTTTGGACACAGAGATGAACTCTTCCGTGTCCCTGAAGACTAGCAGGTTTGGGTAATTTCAGAGTGGATGAATGTGGAACACAGCTTCTGTATGTTCTGGTTAGCATCTCTGTATATGGGCTTTAGTTACTATTACTGCACTAATTCTGTGTATCTTTTCTTGGTAATGTGTCTGGATTTCTTAGTATTTTTATTTACCACACTGCATTATTAGTCTCAAGTACTGCCTTTTGATGAATGCTGTAACACTGAACTGTTGTTGCAATGTTACCTTTCTGGCAAAAGAAAAGAAAGGAGAGCTGGTGGGCAATATTGAACAAATTCTGAGGCACTTCTCACATTCTCAAGCTTATAATCCTCTCTCCTGCTCACTCCTATAACAAAGTCAAAGCTCCAGTTTTTCCAGAATGTTTGCAGGAGACAAGTGTTGGAATAAAACGTAGATGTTCCAAAATAGCTAATTACCAATTTGCATGTTTAGATATCCTGAGATAAATTGATTATCATAAGCGTTTCACCTGTTTGCAAAGTTGTGTCACAGCAGCAAAAGTAAAATAGAAGCTGGTGAATGCATCTCATCAAGTGTGGTAAGCAGAATGCAATATATTTTAGCTCTTTTAAGTCCCTCACTGATTAAAGCTGGGAGTTTCAAGGAAAGGTTTGATCTGTATATCAAGGAAATAAAAACTCTGCCAGATTTGTAACACTGTTAAATAGGTACAGGTCAGTCAATGTCAGTGGATATTTGTTTATTCTCTCCGATTCTGTGAATCGTTATCTGTACAAAACAACTCATCCTTTCTTCTAAATAACTTCATTCTCTGCTTAAAAGCTGAGCAGATGCCCGTGCTTGTTACTGGGATGTTAAGACTAAACACAGCAGAGCTGCTGATTTTGAACTGATTGCTAGGACACATAAACACTCACAGAAGTGGTGAGCATTATCAGTTGTAAATATTTTTTTTTCTATATAAGCACAAAGGTGCATTTCAAAGTAATGTGGATGTTACACATCTGCTGTAGCAGGAAGGGTGACAAAAATAGACAGCATTGAAACAACTTGTGGAGGAAAACTGACGTGTGAAAACATGTTTACTGTGATGCTCTGTGCTCGGCTAGACTGGAAAGGGAACACAGAAATAAGAAAGGTAAATTACATAATTTTAATTGAGTTCTCAGATTGTAGGTTTGACCTGTAGAACATTTGTAGCTCTCATCCACACTGTTCAGTCACTGTTGAACAGTATTCATGGCTGAATAGTAATGCTGAACATGCATTTTCAATACACATGAAACATGCTTATATTTTTCATCAGGGAATGACAAAACCAAGGTCACTGCAGGATTTGAAATCACATTGGTGGCAGGGAATAAAAGGCTGCCTGTAATTGCAGAGAGCCATAGTGTAGCCAGTGCTATTTCCCTTTGTATTGCTGAATTTGGAGCAGGCCTTTCTCACAGGAGTGCTTGGTCTCTCAATGAAAGAACATTCAGTGATATTAACCTTGGGTGCCTGAGAGCAGCCGCCACAGGGAGAGATCCTAGCAAGGTTTATGAATTCTGATCTCTAAAACCCAACCTGAATCGTGACATTCTCTTAAGGACAATATAATCGTGTATTATCAAAAACACAAAAAAGGTTTTAATTGTATGAACAAACAGCACAAAACTCTCATCAGAATTATAAAAATTATCAAGATAACACCAGCAGTGTATTTTTAAAAGAAAGTGTCTTCAACATGCCTTTTGTCTTTGATTCCATTACATTTACTGTACTGTCATATTATCCTTCTAACTGGCATAATGTTACTTTCTGTCATACCAGGAATGCATTACATTGAAAATACTACATTGAAAATACAAATGGTGGTTGTTTATTCCATCTTGTTCCTTTCTTATTCAGCGATGTCCGTACGGTTTGAAAGTTTAGAACATACACCTTTTAATTCATTATGTTTTGCAGTTGGATCTTGACTTAGGGATGGAGTAAAGCTGTGCAAATATGGGGGAGATGCAGACACTGCAATTAACAGTTTTTCTCCCTAACCGTGGCAACATTCCTGTTAAATGATTTGTTATGTCTTTAATTACTGGATTATATCTGAAATCAAGTATTCAACTTTGCATATTTCAAATTTGTTCGAATTATAGTCACATCATTATGTTCAAATCACAGTACCCAAAATGTGGTTTTGCTACAGGATAATTAACCAATGACTTTGAAATATGCAAGCGGGGAGTCTCATTTAGGTAGACAGCACAAGAAATAAGAGGAGCTAGTGATGCATTCCGTTGCATTCTTATCTTTTGAAAACAAAGCTTCAATTTGCTTTGTTCTTGATTGCATTATTCCGTGACAGATTTTGTGATCTATGGTTATCTTACATTGCTGCAACATTGAAACTCTTCACCCTTTAACATGTGCTCCTGAACTAATTACTTTGAAGTTTCCAAAGGAATTACTCCAGTGAAAAATAAATAGAACTAGCAAGACAAGCTCAATGATATGAGCAGTAAAAATAATGAGTCGTGTGTACTGTGATTCTTGCAATATTCCATTTTTAAAAAATATTTTTCTCCTTTACACTCACTGGCTTTGCTTTGCTGCTGAGCAACTTACTGGCAATATTGCCAGACATTTACTTCAGACGTGACACTGTTTGCCTCAAACATCCACATTACAAAGGGAAGCTTGCCTACTCACATGAGCCTCAGACATGAATCAGCTGTTTCATTGTCTACTCTGTCTTCCTTTTCAATCCTTACTTAATTGGAATGGTCATTTATCTATTGGAATTGTTTTTATACCACTGCTTTTCTCTCTGTTCACCCTTGCCTAACTCAACAGGAATATGCAAGATGGCACATTAATTCTCATAATTAAAAATAGGAAAAAAAAACATTTGGACAATTTTCCCCATTCCTGATGTGAACACTCATTTGGAGTGTGCTTAGGTAAATCTATACATTGAATTGTAAGGTTATATTTTATTTAATGTATTATAAACGATTGCTGATTCATATAGAAAAGGGGATTGGCAAGGGAAAGTTAATCTATGTATCTACCTATTGCCTAAAGACTGTTAATGTCAGTGTGAAGTTTTGCAAGATGATTGTTACAATAATACAAATATTACAACAGTATTTTTCACTAGTGGGTGGATTAGGTCATATAATGGTAGGTATGGATTAGCCTTCTTATTGAATTTTGTAATGCATAATATATACTTGATAAGTGCTTGAAGGTGCTTGAAAGATACGCAGACTGCATTGCTTTTGTAATCTAGAAAAGATTTTTATTTTGGTGTAAATGTAGTTGCACAAATGATAAGGAAAGCATTCTATTAAACCCTACAGAGAGCTCAGGCACAGTCTTCATTAAAGTGGTACAAAGACCACACCATCTGCTACAACTAGTCCCAGCTCTCACTGGGTTTGTTTGCTCAGTAGTTCCTGCTGGTTGAAGCCACCTGTTCGCTTAATTAGAAACACTTTCTTAAAATACTGCCTACTACAAGCACTATGTCTCTCAAGAGGTGGAAATCTAAGTCAAAGAAGCAAGTTGTAAGTAAGGAGAAACTTTGTTTTTATCTAAAGTTGGGAAACTGAATAAATGAAAGGAGGAAGTAAAGTATCACTTCCAGAAAATGCCTCACCAAGTTTTGTTTCACTGCAGATAGAGAAGATGTGTTTACCTCTTTTTTTTCAGCAGTATTAGCTTTATTCGGTCCTGCTGAACTGAAGCAAGACAGTTTTGCGTTTCACTAGTATGCAGAAGAGAAAGTTCTGACCTTACAGGCATAAAATTAAAAGTAAAATAAGAGCAAGTACTGATCTTATTGTCATCCTAAATCAGGATCTAAAATGAAAGCAGAAATAGTATTTGAAAAGTGCATGTAGCAGAATGGAAGTGAAGATTATAATCTGATTTAAAGGTTCCTTGCCTATCAAAATACAAACTTTCAGGCAGCCTACAGTACAGAAAGAAAACATTCCTCATTATATTAATATTAACTTGCTAGTATGCAAAATAAGTCTACATGAACTCTGAATTACACCTACATTTTGATCTTTCCGGAAAAGTTATACCTGGTTTTCTTTTCTGCTGGTAAACTGCCTGAAAGCAAATAATGCAAGTAACGTGTCCACCTGTTCTACTGTGAGAACTCTCATCTATTTGGGTCCCACCTAAAAAGGAAGGGGAATTTAGGAACATGGAAACTTCTGGAAAGGTAAATTTTTCAAAAAGTGTTCTTCAGAGTTGTTTTGTGTAAATGTGATCACTTTATATTAAGAAATGCTGATTTTTTTTAACTGCTGAAATAAGTTCTGAAGTGTTGGACCTGCAGAGTATCCCTGTGAAACTTCATTGCTTGCTTTTATGCTAGAAATCATAATGAATTGGTTAATTACTTAATGGGACTTGAAGATAATAAACCTTCCCTAAGTGTTTAATATTAATTATGACTATTATCATTATTAAGTATTACTCATTTACTGCAAAAGGGACTGGATTGTGGCTGCCAGTACAGAAGATATTTCAGAATTCACAGTATCTCTTAATTTTGTCCTCTGTTTAACTCAGGGCGGTTTCTGACTGTGATGAGGGATAAAGAATTGAATCACATAAGTGAATTATTCCCTATTGGAAACTCAACAGCATATATAATACTCTATGACCGGTCTTATTTCTTTCTCCCTCTAATCTCTCCTGGTACTGTACTCTCATGATGTTGCTGTCTTGAATAATTTCTTGCCTTCTGTAATTACCTATCCTATTATACCCAGTTTCCTTTCCAGTCATGCTGTAGTTATTATTCTCACTGTCGTTATTATTCTCTTTAACCCTAGAAACTCCCTTTGGGGTCTGTGGTAATTTTGGCAGTTTTGAAACTGTATATTCTTCACTTTCTGATTTCACTAGTAAATCAGATGTCAGTGAAATTCAGTGTGACAGGTTAAGCAGAGATAGATCACCAATTATGCTTTGTGTTTCTGAACTGTGGGTTTCTATTTCCGTGGGCTGCATGTGTATAGTTCTCTTTCTTTTGGACATAATCCATTTATCGAAACATAATGTGACATAACAAGTGTGGCCATTTTCACAGATGCAGATGAGGAAGGATGTGGGCCCTGTCTCTTCAGTGACTCAAGGACGTAGTCTAATCCATTAACATACTGTGAATTTACGTCAATATAACCAGTCATTTCTGTGACCTCTGTCTTTCATATCTTCAGTTCCTAGAACAAAGATCAGAAAATGGACTTTGCATATTCAAGTTCACCTTTTGCCACAGTGCATTCAGATGTGGATTGCGCTCTTCTAGAGATCCAGAGAAGAGCGCAAGCCCTTAACTGTTAAGGGAGGTTAGAATACAGAAGCTCATGACTGTGGGATCTGAGGTGTAAGAAAGGGAGTGCAGTAAACACTTATTAGAGAAATTTGTTTTTCTAGGATACAGATGTTTTTCTGTTTGCATTATGAGAGAGGCTGTTACAGGTTTGACTACTAATTTTAGTAGTATTTCTTTTTTCACCTCTGATTTTGTTATGTGGGGGATAAATTCAAAAAGACTAACTTCTATAACAGAAGAATCAGACGTTGAGTAATGTCCAAAGCTTGACATTTTGCTTGACATTTTTTCCCCCCCAACTGATTTAGTTGGTTATTTGAGAAGTTCTATCATTGACAAATACTTTTAGTCATATATACTATACCGGCATATTGACAAGTACATTTTGCACATAACATACATTGAAACTTACATGTGGAAAAAAGGTTTGGAATATGATTCAGTAGTTTAATTTGATCCAGTTCAGCAAAGCCCAATGCTTTGATTCTCCAGCCTACTTAACACAGGTTGCTCCCTGAATCTGCTCAGTGCTCCCTTTCAACTGTCCATATCAGATGTTAAGGGGATGCTTGACGCTGCAATATATTGCTGTCTACACTACAGCTTCGTCACAAATGATTATTTTTAAAATACAACATTACCTACTGATGGCAAGATTTTTAATCGTCATAATTGTTTGTCCTTGCAGAGTCAGATGAAATATTCAATAGCACTCTGAAAATCTGGACAACCACTCTGAAAAGATATTAATGAAATCTGGTGGTGGTATTATCTGGCATTTAATATAATCATTCCTTTTAATGTTTTTCTTACATAAATGTGGTGGTTTATTTTTTTTCCTTTCTGCTGTCTTCTGAAAAGAAGAAAGAGAAAAGGGATATATCTGAACTTTTACATATGCTTTTATAAATGCCACAGATACCTCACTGGGAAAATATCAGAATTCTTTTTAACTACCATAAAATATGGACAGATTCTAAGGAAGAGGTAAATGAACCTGAATGAAATTATTTCTGTGTATATCAAGTTGGTATAGCAATTGCCATGGTAAACAAACATTGTACGTAAATACTTAAATAGTTGTATATTTAGCATGGTAGCAAGCTGTTATCCAAGATTTAGACATTGATAAACAAGACCATGTAGAGAATCTTGGTGTTTTCAAATGTCTATATATCTATTCAATTAACAAACTTAAATTAAATAAAACCTAATTGTTTCAGCCTTGAACTGGAGACCGGAGAAGCAGGTAAAAGAGAATAACAAAAAGCATCACAGAAAGTTGACTCCATCATCACAATATAATCTGTTCCTGAAATGTTAGTTATTAAAATGGAAAATAAAAATCATTGTGGTCACAAACACAAATCTAAATGTTTCGGAGGCAAGTTAAATATTTCAATACAAATCATTATAGCCTTTTCAAAATAGTAGATGCAGACTGTTCTTGTTAGCCCTACAGAAATGTAAGTGCACTTCTGCTCTGGCTGGGGGAAGGGCCGTGTTCCAGTTCAAGGTGGAAGGCTGGTGTCAGATTTACTCAAAACAGAATGAATTTGGCACCTAAAAAAAAAAAAGAAAAAGACACATCATAACATTTTAAAACAGCAGACTTTGAAGTTATTCATGAACGTTGGTGTTCTTGTATTCAGTGTTGAAATCTGGTACTTGAGTTCCAAGACCATCAAGCAATTCTGGTGTTTTGTTTGCATCTTTTGATTCCGACTCTGCTTAGCTGCTCAGAGATCTTTTCCTCTTGCCTTTAACTCCTGTCTCTCCAGGCTTATCCTAAGGCAGTTTTTGTACCTCATTACTTCTTACTTTCAGCAATGGTATAATACAGAGTGATACATGTTACCAGCTTGTTAAAATTTAAAACAATATCCCGCTTTTGCTATCGGCAGACTTGCTTTTAGTAGCCCCAGCTAGGTAGTCACATGCCTTTATGGCAAGGTGGTCACCAGTGGTTGTGCAGGTGTCTGTTGTATCCTAATGCTGTATTAAGGATTTAAATGCACACTAGGAATGTATGTAGTGTCCTTCTGATTAAACAATCTAATAATTAACAATCATTCTTACTGTATTACTATCATCAGCACTACATTTTGTAGTTCTTACATATGGTCACTCATAGAAACCATCATCTGGCTTCTGTGTCTGGTGAAACAGGAAAAGAATGAACTTGGGATTGCACCCAGTCTCCTCAAGGAGTTTAAACATTTGTATTTTGTTCACAGTGAGGTTTAATACAGAAGGATCTGTGGCTGTTGACCGAAACAAAATGTAAAGCTTGTTCTGAGCAGGAAGGTAGCTGAAGCTTTCTGGAAGTCTTGTTTCCTTGATGTGGCTTTGGTGCCTCAGCAGCACAGTGTGGGGGGCAGGCTGGAGCCTGTGCTGGTGGGACACACAGTATCTAAAATTGGTAACGCTTTCCATTCTAGATTAAATTTGTCTCAGGTTTTGATCTCCTACCATCTTCCATGCTGAGCGTCCCTTATGGAAGGTCAGTAGTTCTGGAATACTCACTTAGTTTTACAAGTTCAGAAGGCTCTTGGAGCTTACAAATCTTTGATAAGATCAGCTACTTTACAGTAGTAGAGGAAAAAATTAAGGAGAAAAATAATGCATTATTCTAAAATGCTCTGAAATGTATCCAAGGTTTGAATAGCACGACAACATTGTGCCCTGAGTTACCGTTGCCATGTATTCCCATGTACTAACTTCCCTCTAACGTATTGTCATTTCTTGAGAACGTGATCTTAACCTTTCTAGTTTGTATTTTACGCCCGTTCCCATTTCCCTGAATCGTTGTCCTTGTAGTCCAGAGAATCTTCAGAAGTTAAAATGATTTTGTCTGTTCTGTTTTAGCCTATATAGATCACAACTGGGTTTCATCTGCTGTCACACTGTCACTATATTTGTTACCTTCCCAGGGAAAGGCTTACACTTATTGCCTGTCATGACAAACCTAAATAACATTGTACAATGTAGACATCCTAGCAGCTCTGCTTATTATGTTTTAACAGAGAATAGATGATTACTAGCTTGAACCCTTTCAACAGTTCAAGTGGTTTGTTTTACTTATACCACTCATTTTTCTGTCTTTGAGATCGCTCCCAATTCAAGACAAAATTTAATCTCTCTTCTATCTGTCCTCTTACAGACAACTTAGGTTCCCTAGAATACTTTGCAAGGAATTTTGCCAAAAACTTGATAAACACAAATGCCACCAAAAGCTACCTTTGTGTACTAAGCACTACATCTGGTGAATGGCTTGGGAAAATAAATAAATTGTGGCTAAATAACAATAAACTAATTAATTACTGTTTGTGTTTTCTTGCTAGGACATAAACTCATTTAGAGCTGCCATTACTTGTTGGGTAAATATATTCTGAGAATAATAAATGTATAAGATTATTCACTGTTCAGAGTAAGTACATGATTAGTAGTTGTCAGAATGCATATTCTTGACAACAATAGGGCCTAACAGCTGCTTTGCTGCGCTGTGCCAGCACTTGCTCAGGAGCTCCTCAGTTCATGGACCAGTGAAGCAATAGACAATAACAATTCCCTTGCTGCCATTAAATTCTGCAGAGTCACTGTGGATGCCAGGCGTCACTGACATGTGAAATGCTAATAGTTCTTTGGCAGACTTCAAAAAAAAAAAAAAAAAAAAAAGGAAAAAAAAAAAACATGAAAATCCAGTAAACAGTAATTGCATGCTGAGAGGGATGTTCCAGTGCAAATCAAAACTGCAATGAAATTAAATAATGTGTAAAGCTGTTTTCACTGAGAGGCATGTGGAGCACTCTCCATCTATTAGGCTTTTTAATATGTGATTCAGAGCTATTTATGTACCTGCGTTTGTACTTTTAGAA